ACTGGGCTATTTAGGGGCTCCCAGCCAGGCTGATCCTCAGTACGGTGCGCGTAACGCCTTGATCCAGCCCCTACCTCCAGACCACGATCAAAGACCATTTCCGTATGGCATAGCGATGAAAACGCATAAGCACACAGCACTGATCCCTGATCTTAGCTGGACACCCTCCCGACATCGCACGGGATTGCTCTGTAGTGCCCATTTCTAGCCGGCACCCTCGCGGAGGGTTCAGTCCGAGGATTTTCGCCGACCTCCAGAGTCACTTAGTTAACCATGAAAATTCATATCGCCTGAAAATATAAAAATTCGAAACATCAATACTTTTCTATTAAAATTTGAAATTCATTCCACCAAAAAAATTTCAATTTGAAAAGAGTTTAACTATGGGGGCACGCTGGTTTAAACTTTTGTTTACTGAGCGTTGTGTAAATCAAAATCGGTAGTTAAACTTTTGTCAGTGGTTAACTACGCACTGTGAATTTGGCCCTAAATGAAATTAATTGGTGCTCGTATATATGTACAAACATATGTAAATGCATGTGTGTGCACCTATGTATTAATATCGTTGAATTATTTTAATATCTATTTCAAAATTGTATACAGACAAGACTAAAAAGTAGAAAATAATTATTATAGAAAATTATTATTATTATTATTATTATTTGTATTACAGGCGCCCCACGCTTTTCATTTTCAATCTCATAAATTGTTTATAACGAACTTTGCTAAAATTTCAAAATCAAAAGTTATCAAAACAAATTCTATGGGATTGGGAAATATTATTTTATAATTTTTAGTCCATTTATAAAAGCGTTGTATATTAAACAGTTTTTTTTTTTTTAATATTATTTATTCTTCTGTTATTATAAAAGTTTCTCAAAGCATTTGTTCTTGAAATGAATTAAATTCAGGATTTAATCGGCCGAAGCACCGGCCGATTCTTTGCCGATTAAATCCTGAATATAATTTCATTTTAGGAACAAATGCTTTTATAAATTTGTATAATAACAAAAGCAAAACATAATCAAATAACTAAATAACAATACCTCATTCAAGAATTGGCCAAAAACGGCCGAATCCGATTCTTTTGGCCGATACTAGCCTCGGCATTGGCCGATTAATCGGTCGGACTCTATTCATTAGTCATTGAACTTCGGACTAAAACCTGTGCAACAGTCAAACTACAATTTTACCCTCTCAAGTGAGGGTAAAAGGAGAACAGATGCAGAAGTGCACGGGGACGCAAAAAGCACTATTTCCTGTAAAAACGTCAGTCGGTTTGTTTACATGTCATTGGTACGACACTGATTTGGCTGAAATATCACTAAATAATTATTAAAATCTATACATATTCAAACATTTCGTTGTTTACTTCCATTTGTTTCTACAAATATAAGGTTCTTTGCTTTCACCGCTTTCTGTTTTTGTTTGCACATGCAAATCGGCTGATCGTTTGACTTTTTTCATGAACTTACAGAAAAAAACTCCGGACTAAATCTTGTAACTTCTGACTAGGGTCAGTTGCCCAGTTACTCTCTCAAAAGTGTTCTCACTTACAGGTTTTATGTCAATAGGAACGACTTCCTGTAAGTTCTGACTAAATGCTCTAAACCACACTCCTATTGGAACAGACTACATATGAACATAAATATATATACTTGAGCTTAAGGGAGGAAAAGCGTCATCATAAGACAAAGCGAAAAATTTTATTAGATTTTTTGGCTTCAAATATTTCTTCGCAAGTAATGCGAGTGACGCTGTATTAAAAATCACGCTAACAAAAAATGTATGATGTAACTCAAATAGGCATTTAGCAATATCTAGTACCTAATTCTTATATTTTTGTGGTCATTAATTTCACAAAGCCGTAGTAAAGCTTTCTTAAAGGCGTTATAGAGCACTAATTTCCAAACAGGTATTTTTTTCCCACGCTTATTCTCGTTGACAATTTTCCTAATTGTTTTTGATGGCATTAAGCTAAAATACGTGCATGCATACATATGTATGTATGTATATGTATAAAAAAGGCGTAATTTATTTTTATTTGACCAATCCAACAGACGGCTGTTTATTAGATCACGCCTTAGCAATGATTGGATAAATTTTCGAAGTACTTATGAAGAAAGACAATTAGAGAGGGTGTGGTTTTCAAGCAATAGTAACTTTGCTCACTCATACGTACATACATACATATATCGGTATTCAGATACAAATGATGTTTCATCTCATATACTCTTAGCTATAGGTATAAGCATATGAATGCTTGATTATAAGAACACATCAACCCTCATTTATGTATGTACATACATACTTACTTGCAAATACATATATACATACATACATATATACGTACATACATATAATGCAAGATAAAGTATGCAATTTTTAAACGCTTTACATATGATAATTATCAATACAGTTTATACAAAAATAACTCTGAATAACCATATCCTTAGATTTCTGAAAATGTGTATATTTATGTATACCTACCTACTTAGCTCACATAATAACAAAACCAATATTACTACATACAGGCCCGTCGGGAGAGAAGGGGAAAAAAGGGGAGCATCCCCCAGTCCCGGGCTTTTTAAGGGGCCCGAAATATCAGAACCATAGCTTGTTATTATTTTTTTTTTTATGTTATTGCTCCTTCGTTATAAGCTTTTATTATAAATACTATAAATATATTCCGGTTCGTACTGACAGCTTCTGACTCTATAAATTAAAGAAAATGATCATATCGCTAGCTTAGAATGAAAAGTTGCTAAGTCCACTTTTTATGAAAACTCATATTTTGATATAAGAGGCTAAAGAAATTGAGTATGCATCGTTTCGAAAATTATAAAGGTACTTATTTTATTTTTTCCTCTTCATAAGCAATAAAAGGAAAATTTGCTAAGTCCAAAAGAAGCACCACAAATCCGATAAGGCCAAAATAATACGACATCCTTTAATAAGTATCGAATCCTTCTGGTTTTTGTGGAGTTTTGCTTTGCTTTAAACGCGCAAAATGTTTGATTCAAAGTCTTGCGAAATAGTTAAAGCAGATGGCTATAGGAAGATTTTTTCCTCTCCTGTAAAATTTTTAAAATGGGACTTAGCAACTTTTCTTTCTAAGCTAGCGATATGCCCCAAAACGCGTACTGTTACAATACGTTTTGGCTCACAGTGCTTTTCAAATACTGCTGACACTTGCTAGAATACAACTTTCGGATAGTTTTTCGTCTTGCATCTGAAAGCATATACGTAAAAAAAAATATATTGCAGATACCTCCTGTTGTTTAGGAGTTATAAGTGTTCACATTAAAATTTTTGGAAGTAATTTTAAACGCTCCTTATACATATAACTCAAGAACTACGTATTTATTGAACTTATAAATTTAATTTTGAGGTCAACATTTGCAAAAAATAGTCGGACTGTTACGTTACAGAAAAATACTGTTACGTTACCTGTACGATATAAATGCGTGTAGATTAGAACATGGGCGTAGCCAGAACGAAGTTTAGGGCGGAGCCCCCATACAATTTTTTTTTTTAAACAATAATTATTTCTAAAAAATTGTTTATTATAACTTAAAATTATTGTAACCAATAGAGAAACGGTGGGCAGACGTTCTGTGAGCCAAATGCGGCTCTTTGCGTAACAAAGTGCGGCTCTTTTTACTTTCTCTTTGCTTAGAACATGTTGGCTCTTTTTAATTTTTAAAATACATATTTCTTTACTGGACATTCTTTTCTATTGTGTTGTTTTTTTTAATCCTTTTATATACACATACGCAAATTGAGATCGGAACATTACCCGCAATTTTAGAATGAAAATTGGCTTTCTGACCTAATGTTCTTTACCGATGATGGAACATTTGCAAAACTTGAATTTGTTTCTACAAGGAGAGAATAAAAATGATTTTGATTTGTCGCAAATTATTTAAAGTTTTGAAGTTAAACTATGTCTTACAAAGCTAAACTACATCTTTTTATTCATGATCTCAAAAAAAGAATATTTCATAATTTTCCATGGCTAGAAAAAAATATTGCATATGATTTAAAAGCAGATTTTAAATAAAGATTTGCCGATTTGAAATTATTTAAATGTACGTTTGGGTACTTCATAAACCAGCTTTTTGTGTGCACGTACCTACACAAAAAACTTGCAAAGTAGGGAAATTGAAATATCAAACAAACATTTCATTTTGATGGAAATCTGCTATGTAGTTTCTGCTGGAAACAATTTGCCATTAAGACAGCTGATCAAAAACAGCTGGTTGGAATCTACGCAAATCCCAAAATCGAAGTTGATGGTTTGGAAGTTAAAATAGGGAAATGCGACTAATTAAACTTGTAAGAAGTAAGTAATTATTCCTTTAGTCTGTGAACTGTGTCAGGATAAGAATTCAGGGTTTATTTTCTTACGTTTTCAATTTTATACTTTTGAATGTAAACAACATTTCTATCAGCTGTTCGTCTAACTTGCCAGTTTCTGCCAATTTTCTGTTCTGTGTACTATTTTGAATATTTTTTTGTTGTGAGAGAACAAATGACGTTTCGCCGGAATTTTGCTGTTGGACATTTTTAACTGGAAATTTTAAACGAACATTTAACAACCAACATTTAACAGAACTGTTACGAACGGCTTTAACTGAAGTAAAACCAGATTTTGAAAATTTTGCCAAAGAATCTTTTGAATTTTCTTTAATATCTATCTTACGTATAATAGAACTATAATAAATTTAAAGTTTTTCATTTCTAATAATAATTTGGTTCGTAATTCGTCGGTTCGAATCCTACTGAAAGAAGTCTGAGGAAATGTGGTGATTTCCGAAATAGCTAACACTTCTACCATTTTTTCAAATTATTGTTGCTTTTCCACAACAAAATTTTCATTTAAAAAATGGCC